AGAAGGTCCGCGGTATGGATGGCTTCAATGACTTTGCCAGCGGTTTCTCGACCGAAGAGGTGGACGGTGGCGGCAAGGTGTTCGTCGCGGCTCTAGGATGGGAGAGTCTGGAGAAGAGCAGAGCTGCCGACAAGTCTGTCTATGTTCCTGCCAGCGGCAAGGTGGAGTCTCACCACGTCAACTTCCACTACCCCATTAAGGGCTTCTCTGTTACCAACACCCACTAGATGAGGTATTCATGACGCATTTTAATTGGGTATCTAGACGGATCATTGACCGATAGCGATAGTCCAGTAGCTTGCAATTGACTTTTCTGAAGCCACAATTTGAACTTGTGATTGTTTCGTATTACAATTGTGACTTGTCAATAGTTCGTCTAACCTACCTTATGAAGTCCAAGTAGTACGTGAGTATTGGCAACCATGCTAAGACCTTGAGGAAAGCCTTTACGAAGCCGTCGACGTCTTTTCAGATGCCAAGATGGCGCTCAAGCTGGTCCCACGCACTAGGATTGATCCACCGCGCACGTATTCCCGCAGAAGGGGGGCAGGTACCCTCCCCGCAGCACCTGTGTCGTGGCATAAAGTTTGAGTGGCCGACGAGCCCGACATATATCAGACCGTCTGAGACAGATGCGGATAGATGTATGCGCCGAATTGCGAGGTTGACGTGCCTCAACAGATGTAGATGCGTTCGACGAGTGACGCTGCTTGACAGACGACAAGGTTCCGCACCTTGTGCTCGGACTCGGGGCGGGAAGATGCGTCTGTCAAACCGGGGGTCCGGCACAATGATCAACCCTGCACAGAGCAGGCGAGCGGTTCTCGCGAGACTCAGATACAACGACTTCTCACATTTAATGTCTTGAATGCAAGAATGCTGACGCGGTTGACGGTTCTTTCGGGGGGCTATTCTTCGATGGGCGCGGGCTCTGGCCCGATAGCCCCGCATATCCTTCAACCGGCTTAAATAGTTCATAGGAGACGCAGTTGATGTTGACTGCGCCAAACCCAGCATCGACAAGATCTTTCAGACTGGTTTTCCCCTATCAGCCTTACTATCATAGCAGAAACAGTGTTCACAATCACAATGGCACCTAAGATTCAGAAAGTCGCCATTGCAGGAGTAAGCTCGTGTCCCAAACATAGTCTAGCCGAATGATGTGTAACTGACTATGAAAGGCCACTGGAAATGTTGGAAAAGCAACTATGAAGGCATTGCTTACAGACGGATTTGATGTTACTGTTTTGGTCCGCAAACAGAGCTCTTTTCCTGACGGGGTCAACATCAAGGTGGTCGACTTTGCTTCTTCTGATGCTATCAAAGATGCGTTACAGGGCCACCAAGCTTTTGTGGACTGTACGCTTGTCCATGACGATACTCCGTCAAGATTGATAGATGCTGCTGCTGCGGCTGGAGTCTATCGTTACATTCCATCAGACTTCAGCTTGGACTTCAACAACCGCAACGTTCATTCGGTGCCCGTTTTCTTCAAGAAAGACATGAATGACAAACACTTGCTGAAGAAATGTGAAGAAACTGGAATGACCTGGAGTGTCATATGCAACGGCGCGTTTTTGGATTGGAACTTACGGACCGGCTTCATGAATATCGACATCTACAACAAGAAAGTCGATTATATCAACGAGGGGAGTAATGTCCAAGTCTGGACCACGCTCGAATCAACTGGCAAGGCCGTTTCGGGAGCCCTCCTTCACCATGTAGAGACGGAAAACAAACCTGTTTACGTGCATTCTGTCAACAAGAGCCAAAAACAGATGGTGGACCTGTGTAAGGAGGCGTTGGGGTCTGACGGCTGGACTGAGTCAACGTCGAACATGGATCAGGTATTTGCTGGAGCTTTGAAAGAGTTCCAGGCGGGAAATTACAGTATGAACGTTTTCGGCGACATGATACGCTATGCGAACTCCAGGCCGGAAATTTCCTGCCCTTGGCCCAAAGACGACAATCCTATGCTTGGAGTCAAAGAAATGTTAGATGATGAGGTGGAGAGCCTGGTAAAGTCGATTGCAAGAGAAAAGACAACTTAAGTAGTGATATAACATGTACCATGGATTAGCAATATAAAATGTCTCTATTTGAGTGTACACCAGACCAGTTCATGTTACCTTACATTAGTCGGAGAGCCGTCAGAATTTGAGAGTTAAGAATTCGGACTCCACTTCATAACAGAGACTGTTTACACGAATTTTGCGATGAAATGCGAATGACTTGTCACAGGGTGTGAGTTTCATAGCTTTCATCTGCCTGGGAAGGTTCTAGGTTCAAGAGGATCTCGGAAATTCAAGGAGAAGGTTATAGTATAATTCTCCTCACTCTAGATTGAGCTGCCTGAGCTGCCTGGCTAGTACGACTCTCTTCTTGAACAACATATCTCTTATTATTGCCGAATAAGAGACCATTTTGCATGTTATGACTTTGCTCTCAGGTCACCGATTGTTCTCGAAGGCTTCAATATCAATTTAAAACAAGTTCTTGCAAAAAGCTCCCAACTCAGTGCTGAAGAACTAGAGCTGACTATAAAGAAAATGTGGCAGATTTGTAAATCGAATGTCTGAAGCACGTGAAGAGAAACCTCTAAAACCCATATCTTGCTTTTTGGGGAATCTTTGGTGTTACCATACAAGCCTCGCCATCATGATTAATAGGTGGCAAAGCCCTGTATCGTATACATGGAGTCAAACTTTCTCAAATGAGCAGTAATATATTTCGCGGGTACGGCAGTAGCGCACAATGCAGCCAGTCCTCGACCTCTCAACCCACTGTCAGATAGTTTCCTCCCTTTCATGACGTACTTTGATTGACTGACTCAGCTGTGCGACTCAGTTCTGCTCCCCCGTTGATAAATACTGATTCATGATGCCCCAGCGTGAAAGGAGACTAAAGATGACTGCTCGTATGTTAATCATCAATGCGAGCCTTAGCTTTCGACGATCAACGTGGAGATAACTCTATCAGGCTGTGTGCTTGACAGAAAGTATTGGCACGGGCCTGGTACGTTGTTGAGAGAAACTCATCAATGTGAGTAGAAGTGGAAATGCTAACACATACTTAAGTGGGAACTGGCAAGAATAGCGGTTTGGCATTTCATTTCCGTAGCGCAATGTCAGGTGCGCTTTAGATGCCCCCAGTGGCCCTTGATCACTCTATCAAATGTACGGAAGTAAGTTGACATACAGGCCCAGACCACTTTCCAGATCCACCTTTTCTGCCTAATATTCCAACACCAGGTCTTGCTTCACAGAGTCTCTAGAAAAGGCTCATAGATGGGAGGGATAACTATTGAATCGGTACTCTGATGTTATAACCGAAACAGAGGAGGACATGTGGGCAAGCGAGTTGGTATCTTATTCCAACCATTATACAGTGGTTTTTTTCCAGCTTTACAGGCGCAAAAGATCAACCTCAACGGGATCAGCTTTTAAAAAAAGAAATCATACAATATAGTACGCAATTTAACTATATAATACGCATAATATGCCCTATATATACGCTTAACTCAATATAATAATTTCAATCTAAAAGACACGATATAATATAAGTAAGTAGGTTACCTATCAATTATATAGTGGCGCAGGCCGTCAAGGTCGACAATAAAGGTCGACCGTTAAAGTCGGCCTTAAAGGTCAAAGGCCGCCGGAGATATTCTAAATTCTAACGTCGAAGTAAAGGCTTCCGGAAAAAAGGCTAATATAGCTAATATCTTACTACTTTACTATATTAAAGCTTATAAAGATTCTTTTTATTCTCATCACATTCCATATTATATACATAAGTATAAATACTCCATCACTTATAAACCCACTAAATAACAACATCCACCAGCTAAATAAGTAATCAGACAATCAATTTAACAGTAAACTAGTCAAACAGCCACGTCGACGTGCACCACGCAATGTACAGTCGTCACTCAGCGGGCTTACCCAACAATGTCTATCGCCCTGGACACGTCTGCCCTTCTCGGGCTCGATCGATTCTTCGGCCCATTCGACGCCCTGGCCATCGTGGCCCACGAGGGCACGCCGGCGGAATGGCGCGGTGCCTTCCGGAGGTGCGGCATTCGGTTGTTACAACCATTATAAAGTGTTTGTCACAATTTACTCCAAAGTTCAAACTGAATTATGAGGCTATCATTAGAAATAAACGTATCAACAGATCTGGGGTGGGTTCAAATTGCCGTCTTATGCATCCTTACTATTCACAGCACACTCGTCCTTGAATTATGTTAGGCAATAGTCGAAGATTGACTCTCCTCTACTCACTCCTAAACTTGATCTTATAATAGTCGTTGAAATCGTCAGCTGTCTCAAGCTAAGCAGATTGATGCAAAAATCTGCAGTCACAGATGTGAGACTTGGCCGGAGTAGTTCTTCTATAGTGAGTGGGCAGGAGATGAACTGCCTCTCAAACAGCCAGATCTTAAGGGTGTTTCCGGCCCCCTGGGAAACCAGTTGGCCATCTGAACTCTACAAAGACCAGCTTCGAACCGCATGCAGTCTTCGTCCGTGTCGACCATCAAGAACCAATCACTTGTCCACGCTTCCCCGGCAACCCTAAAGCAAAGAAGCACTCTATCAAGCTTACCATGTATCTGGGAGCCAATGATTGAACCAAGCTGGTTCGACCTTCCTGAAAAGCATATTGAGTTTATGCAACCACGCGGTATAATCCAATTGTCCCGGCGAGCCAAGTAGTGAACGTAGGTTAGGCAGCTTGCCGCCGCCGCCCTCCTCGATTATTCCATAGCGCCAAGGCATCAAACGAGTCAGTTACAAGACCCTGACTGGCCCTGCGATCCTTTTCGTTTCACTGTCGAAGCGGATCGGTGGCACTCGCACAGCATATAAGCTTTCTTCGTGAGGTGGTTCTCAAACCTTATCATGGCAGCATTTGGGGTTATGAACCTGCATATCCGACTGCAGTCTGCAGCTTGCAAATGATGGCGCTCGTCTTAAGTACTAGCGGGCATCCTTTCCACTCTACATAGTAAGGCTGCGTGCGCCATCGCATCTTCCATCCCGTCTCGCTGACGCCGCCGCTGCCGCTCGGTGTGTTCCTCCCGCATGATGCCTTCCCCAAGGTACGAACTATTACTGGCGCCATCGATTCACCGAAATTGACTTCTCGAATGAGAGATGGCCGGAGAGACGGGAACCATCTCGGTGTCACAGGTTCAGGCGATGGTTATGATAGCGTTCGCCGCGACCGCGTACTACAATACGATCGAGACCTTCTTTTCCATTTTCACGACGTTCAAGCGCCGGCGAGGGAGATATTTCTGGAGCATGGTCGTGTCTAATACCGGCATCAACATCAACGTGATTGCCTTCATTCTGCGCTACTTCGGCTACTACCAGAAGGCAATATTCGCATCAAGCATCATTATACCGATCGCCTGGTACTCGATGGTCACAGGTCAGGCCATCGTACTCTGGTCGAGACTGCACCTAGTTGTTCACAGCCAACGGAAGATCCGCTGGATATTGACAATGATCACTTTCAATGCCGTCACGATGCATATCCCGGAGACGGTAATCTTCTTTCTCGCCAACAACAGCCCCAAGCAATACGTAATGCCGTTCAAGATATACGAAAAGGTCGAGCTAGTCATCTTCACCATTCAGGAGACCATAATCGCATCGGTCTTTCTCTACGAAGGCTACAAGAGTCTCAAGCCGTTGAGCGCAATCAAACCCAAGGCTGTTACGAGTATGGTTCGGCACTTGGCATCACTGTTCGCTGTTGTCTTCATACTAGACACAGGTTTGATTATCCTGGAATACAGCGACAAATTCGAGATTCAGACAATGTGCAAGCCATTCGTTTACAGCGTTAAGCTCAAAGTCGAGTTCGTCGTGCTCAACAAGCTATTAGCGTTCACTCGAATGAGTGCCTGCGACTGTCGAGGCCCCGAGAGCATACCATCTGCCACGTTAGCTGACAGCAACAATCGCACAAACGTTGGGAATAACGGGGTGATGCTAGCACTTCCAACCATCGAGCAGACGAATGGATCGCTGTCTCCGCTATGGCAGACAGCTAGGAAGGACTATATCTTTGATGGACGCACGTCTCCGATGAGCACAAGAAGCAGAAGGCGGACGAGAGAAGACGACATGGAAATCAGCCCAGAAGAAGACAAAGCGACAGTTTCAATACGTGAGAAGCCGTTGATGACGGACGATAGCTAGTCTTGGCAGAAAAGGAACGAAAATTGCAGAAGATTACTACTCACCAAGGACTCTCTTTTCGGTCAGGATCATGCCAAGCTCCTCAATATCACCTATTCACATGCTTACGTGAAGTGTTATGTGCTACGTCCTTTACTCAAAGCGAATACCTAGATGATGGGGTAAAATTCCTTGACATCGCAACGTCATAGTGAGCAGCCGATGTCAACAAACAAAGTTAAAATAGGAAAAAAGAAAAGGGAGTTTGATTGCCTGCAGCTAGTCGAAACTATTCGATTCGTCTGAACCAGTGATCATGGACACCATTTAGGTACGGGGAAACAGATTCCTGAGCCTGCACCACTGTCGACAACAGTCAACATGAGTCATGTTTCGCCAAGGCTTTGGATAGCCGGATGACGAAAAGAGAATGATTACACACTACCTCAATGAATCTAGTCAGAATCAAAAGTTGTTCGGTTCACTATTCGCTGCCATTTGCTGCGTAAGAAGAGAAATTGTCACTTGCCGGACCCTTGAACCAAGAAGGGACTACTTTAGGTTTCCAAGAAAGCCACACATTTTACTCGACCACATGCGTAGAAGAACTCAAACCCGAATAATGACGAATCCAAAACGCGAGACCCCTCAGTATCAAACCCGAGCCACGTTTAAAGTTTACGAGTTGGAAACCAGAGGCAAGATCAGTGAAGTATTACTCGGGTCCGACGCTGACTAGAGCTTCGTCGAGAATGAGCAGCCTCACGGTCTCCCTCCACCACATACGACCATACCCATTGGAAAATTCGGGATCCCGTCCGCTCTCCCATAGACAAGCCAATGAGGGCCGGATTAGTAGTTGGGTCGGTGACGACCAGCGAATACCTGGTGTTGTATGTTTTTGGTGTTTTAACCATCGTTAGGACTGCCCAGCAAAGGCTTACGATCCAAGATAACCACATTCAAGCTTCGAACAACAAGTCGCACATCTCAAAGTCGGATGTCACATGAACGAGCATAACATTGTCGGTATGGGTTTTTCTAAAGGAAAATAGAAGTCGTCAGTGGAGAGTGCTTACATGTGTTTTTGAGTCTCCACTTACACTGTTTTTTGCGAACAACCAGACCGGCCTTGGCAGACGTAGTAATTCAGCGCCAGGCAATTGTTTCTTAGGCTCAACGGTGCCAGTGCTTAAAGAAAAAAAGAAAGCTATGTGGGAGGCGAACTATTAACACTCTGAGTATTTAGTATAGGCACAACAATAGTCATAGGAGTTGGGCAGGGTTTGGTGTGTTCATATACGGATGAAGATTCAGCACGACACTCACTAAATAGTTGGTAATCGAGAAGTAAGGGAAACGGTTTACTATCTGACCAAATGACTTGAATAGCTATTACATGTTGCTTCCATCCCATAAACCAAATGCTACCCAATGCCAATACCATCGTTAAGATATCACGGCTAATTACTAGTAGTACTATACAAGGAAACGATCACCGGTCAGGATTACCTTGCACCGCTGAAAGTCTCGCCGCCTGTCTCGAGATATTTCTTCTCCTGCGCAGTTGACTCCCTACCCATAGCCATGTTCCTATGCGGGTACCGTCCAAACTGCAAAATAATGTCGCGATGCTTCGTCTCAAAGTCACAATTCGTCTCCAGTAGATCTTTAGCCGCCTCCTTCTGCACCGCCAACACGCCCCAGCACTTACGCTGATCGTCGCTCCCGGCTTCCCCGTCATCAGCCATCAGCTCCTCAAAATCGACCTTCATCTGCTGATACTGCGCCACAGCAAAGTCATGCAGCGCCAGGTCCTCGGAGTGCATGAAGGGCAGATAGAACCACATGCGATAGGCCACACGGTACTTGATCCTGTTGTGAGTCGCGGCGCCGGCATTGATGGCGTGCTGTGCGAGTTCGCGCGCGACGGGATCGAAGAACTTGAAGACCGTCGACGACTCTGGGCCCCGGTAGATGTTTCGCGGGACTTGGTCTAAAAGGAGAACTAGGCCGAGCCACTGCAAAGGGGTGAATGGCCTCACAATTGTGAGAATATCTCTGGTGGTGATCTTGGCTGATTTCATGGCCTCCAAGACAGGGCGAAACTTCTTCCTGTAGACGCACATTAGCAAAGTCACGTAGCATGCAATCTGGTAGGTAACATTACACGCAAGCCTCATCAAAATCGACGTCGGAGTAGAACCATCGTCCCATCTGGCTCCTCTGGGGTAGAATATATGCCTCATCGGTCTTGAGATGCTTGAACCAGAACCGGCGGAGCTTCTCAAGCAGGTCAGACGTGAGAGTTTCCTTGAGCCGTGCCTTTGCGTGCGTCTTGCATGAATTTGACCGCGGCAGTCCCCCCATGGTCAACATCGGCATCATCTTGTCGTCAGTAGAAGAGTCGCGATGACTGGCAGAAGTATGGAAACCGCGTCGTCTCGTAAGCGTCGTCGTCGCTGTCGACGAGCCTGGCCGGTGGCATGTCGAGGGAAGGCTAGCACCACGACTCCTCACCGCCTGCGACGTTGAGTTATGCCACTGCTGCTGCTCCCACGGCATCACCCGCAACAGACGGCGGTCGACGCACCCCGCATTTCGAAGGGTGCGACTGATGGTCTGATGAGGAGACATGACAGCCACCTCTCACTTACAGGACGACAAAGGATGACCAATAGGCGGAGGGTGGTGCCACCGGAGCTGCACTGACGTCGTCTCGTCTGGTGTCTTTGCTGCCCTTTCGTTTCTGGGGGAGGTCTGGTCGGAAAGGGGGAAAGTCTGGACGCGTCGAAATGCGGGGGTTGTGCAGGCCGAGCGCCCCGTTGTGCAAGTCAGGGTCCCTCGCTTGCCATACACTAATGCAAAAACGAGCGAACTGGCGTTGTTGTCGCTGCTTTGCTTATGTTAGCGGCTGGATGGTGGCACAGGATCGATTGGATGGGGATGGGGCTTGGGGGCAGCACTTGATCCCACCAAGCACCCTACTACGTCGGAATCGGCATCATGGCGGAGGGGATCCAGGGCGTTGGAGGGCCGGTCGAGAACGGCCACACGTTGGATTGTGGCATAGATCAGAGATCGGCAGAGGTCAGACACGCCCGGTTCATCATGGCGTAGGGTTCCGTTCGCTCTGGACTCTGGAAAGACGAGTGTGGCCAAGCCGGAAGCTACATGGTGAGGGAAAGCTCAGAGTTAGAATTGACGTCAGTTGAGACTGCGCGTCTAAGAAATTGTTAGAGACAGAGAGCGAGAAAGGCGCACACTGCGGCGTTTAACCCAAACGCTGAGACCCGCCTACAAAAGCAGTGCAACACATCTCATTAAAGTACCGGCATGCCTCCCGTGGTTGCGCGAAAAGCTAGAATGGAGATGGCCTGGAATCGAGTTTCGAGATTATTGCAAGGTTGGACAAAAGCTTGGGTCCGGCTGCACAAGAAAATCCGGTACTATCATAAGAAACCCTATAAGCCGGTCGAGCAAACCTCGGCGTTCACGCCCTTCCCCACATTGACACCATGGAAGCTTATTGTTCGCGAGCTTCAAGAATGCAGTGAATCTGGTACGCTAAGACTCGCAGCCTGCGTTCCTCTTCTCCGGAAAGCACTAGATGACTTCAGCCGACGGGTAAAGAGATCTATTCCCACCTCGAGGTCAGCAGTCACACAACATACCCCCCAAAGTGCCGCCGAATCGTTCACGGGCCGCTGCTAGTGCCACCATCCCGAACCTTAACAGTTTGTTTTAACGATGATGTTCGAGATCCCGTCCGACTTTGAGATGGGTTTCTGGGATCATCTCAGTTGTCATTTGTTCTGGATAAATATCATCCTGGAGACCGGCATGGCCGGCTAAACAAGCGTTCATGTGTAATAGGGGGACGGACGAGCTGCCTCTTTGCCTCTAATACTGTTTTCCAAAGAAAAAAGAGGAACCGCCTTCTCGGCCGCAATGCCGGAGCATGCCCCTTGCGTAAATTGCGGAGAGCGTCGCAAGGATCATGCAACATCGGCCCCGGCTTGGTTCATTTACTCCCGACGATGCGGCCACTCAATCCAACTCCTGACCTAAACCCGACACGTCCATTGGCGGAACCCCACAGGTCCTCATCGGTCCATCACGGCCGGCCGCTCGTCGACCGTTTGGGAAAGATTTCCCAGGGGTTGGTGGTGAACCACACATGGGCACTTGTCACCCCAAAACCGGAAAACTCGTAAACCTCGCGCAACTGTACTAGGAAAGCACGAAAGCAACTTCTTGAAGTTCCCATCCGGTCCCAAGAATGCTACCCATGTGGGTCGACGTTAGTTTATTCTGGGCAAGGCGGTCCCATCGAGAAAACAAACCCCAGTTCCCATGCAACCGATGCCCAAATACCCATAGGAAACGGCACTTGAATCTCCGTTTTCCCCTGTCATCCCATCATCGGTTCCTGCTCTAGACCCAGAGAACCGATCGAGAAAGAATTAGATTGAAAAGGACGAGGTTCGTCCTCGCCCATCCTACAATGCTCTCTTTCCCTCCTCGCTCAGCCTCACCAGCCTCTCAGTTCATACTCCGACCACTACATTCGTTCTCTTGACCTTTTCTTGTACATATCAAAACCAATCTGTCAATATGGTTTCATTCACTTCTCTCTTCACGGCCTCTTTGGCCGTCGTCGGTGCCCTCGCTGCCCCCGCCACCGACAAGCCCATGACCACCGACCTCATCAAGCGCGCTTCGACCCCCTCCTCCCAGGGAACTAGCAACGGCTACTTCTACAGCTTCTGGACCGATGGCGCCTCCCCCGTCACCTACACCAACGGCGCTGCTGGCGCGTACAGCATTCAGTGGCAGTCTGGCGGCAACTTCGTCGGTGGAAAGGGCTGGAAGACTGGTGGTTCCAAGAGCATCAAGTACTCTGGTACCTGGTCCCCTGTCAACAACGGCAACAGCTACTTGACCGTCTACGGATGGACCAGAAACCCCGTAAGTCACACTCGTGAACACATGTTGCCGGATGAATGTAAGCAAATTCGCTAACACAATCCTTTGCAGCTCATTGAGTACTACATCGTCGAAAACCACGGCGAGTACAACCCTGGTAGCGCTGGCACCCTCAAGGGCCAGGTCACCTCCGACGGTTCCGTCTACAAGCTGTACGAGAGCACCCGTACCAACGCCCCGTCCATCGACGGCACCCAGACCTTCAAGCAGTTCTGGGCCATCCGCGAGAGCAAGCGCGTCGGCGGCACTGTCACCACCCAGAACTTCTTCAACGCCTGGAAGTACGCCGGCATGACCCTCGGTACCTCCTTCGACTACATGATCGTCGCCACCGAGGGCTACCAGTCCGCCGGCTCGGCCAGCATCAAGGTCGAGACCGCTGCTTAAATGCAGTAAACTTTCGTAACGAATGTGCTTTTGGTGAGGGCGATATTGAGGAAGCGAAGGGGCCTGGGGACGATCAAAGCGTGCAGTGTCGCGCACGTGGGCACTTCAGGGGTTGTTGGACGCACGGCGATCATGAAGGAAATTTGAGATGGCCTTCAGGCGGAGGGCGGGCCTTGCGGATGTTTAAAAAGGCAGAATTTCTTCAACTTGATCCCCTGAGATCCGATTGATGTCAACAATGAGAATCACCTATTCCCCATCAATCAATTTTCATGACGTGTCGGCCTCTCAAGCTCGAAGTTTTGCCACCCCAAGCAGAAACGATATTTAAATAGGGGGTTTGCCGGACTTCGTTTCGGTGTCGTGGCCGAGCACTATCGAAATCAAATATATTGAATTGAACCCACACAAGCAGCCAAATCTGTCGAACACCACATGCCCCCCAGGCGATGAGCCCAATCCGGCCGATGGGGACGCATCAGACCTTACCTTATTTCAAGTCCACCGCGTGGGCACACAGCCTCATTTTGAATTCTTAATGGCGAACAATTCTTCAACGCCAAAATTGCCCTTCATTTCAACCATTGGACCTAAAATCCCCCATAGCACCGACTTAGCCTACCAATTGCTGCCGACACAGACAACTTGTCTTCGAATGCCCCCGGCAACATGTGCTGTGAGAGCTGGCAGAGCTCCATTCTCATTTTGAAGGGTTCAAACAGTCCATTCACTGACTCATTCTCTAGTCTTCACAGACGCTGCCATACTTGACTCTTGAAAAAGTGTTCAAATTGCTGCTTAACACCTGGA